TGTGAATGAATAGTGGAATTGTAAAGTGCTTTGAGGGTCTTGAAAAGCGCTATATAAATGCAATCCATTATTATTAACTGAGCCCAACTTTAGGAAGTCCAGAAATATGCTTTCTTATATAGATAACGATTTGCAGTTGAAGTTACATTATATACGAGTTACCCATTGACCTAGCCTACAGTAAAGGTTATTTATTTATTTTCAGTTAAACAGCTTTAAATGCAATGCTTGTTCAGTCTGTACAATACATTGGGATGTCATAATACCTACCGTTTATTTCTTCTTTTTCAGTGTTTGAGGAAGTGGGGCTTTAGGAGGTGTGAGGATATCTGCTGGATTAAGACCAACAAGAATAACCCAGGAAAAACCAAGGCACTGGATCCAAAAGCAGTATTCCAAAGGACCAAGGTATTTTGTACACACACACACACACACACACACATTTGGTATATTATTGATGTAAATTGTGGGATTAATTGTATAGTATGATGCATGATGACAAACAACACAATCCTTCCAGGAACATTGCCTAATGGGAATCAAAGGAACAGTGCGTAGGAGTTCTGATGGAGACTTCATCCATGCCAATGTAGACATTGACTTGATCATCACTGAAGAGCCTGAGATGGGAAATGTAGAGAAGCCTGTGGAGATCTTCCACATCATTGAGCACTTCTGTTTGGGCCGCAGAAGGTTGCACCTGTTTGGAAGAGACTCTACCATCAGACCAGGTACGGTGGATATGTGCTTTTCTTTGGAAAATATGTTGACTTAAAATTAGTTGACAACAACATTTTATTTACTTATTTTCAATTCAATTTCTCTGTCTTTCGTTCTTGTTTGTCATTACACATATTGTTTCGTTTTTTCCACTCTCATTCTAGGCTGGCTGACAGTGGGTCCTACTTTGACAAACACCAACTTTAACCCAGAAACCTACGCTGCACATTTTGGTTTACCTAACTGCCATCTGTCTGGCTGCACTGAAGAAATAGAGAGGCTCCGGCCCAAGTCTCCCCCTGTTAAACTTAAGTCGGACCGTGGTGGCGGACCACCCAGAGGGGGGCGTGGTGGGCCAAATGCTGGAAGAGGGGGAGACAGAGGTCGAGAAAGAAACCGACCAAATTTCCGTGGAGACAGGGGAGGGTTCAGGGGTAGGGGAGGGCCGCATAGAGGCTTTCCACCTCGGTAGAGTAAAGAACTAATGCCATCCACACTATAGTGGGAACTTCCATTTGTTTTGTCTGAAGATTTATCCGTAACTCATTTTTGTATGTAAATGATTTAGATGGAAAAAGTTGAGAAGTTTGCCAGTGTGGTTACTTTTTTAATCATTTTGATTTCTTTATATTTTTCATGGATATACGTTAGATTGAATAGGAGTTTCCTGAATAAAATAGATTTTCACCACTTCTGTTTGCATATTGATTTTTGTATTTGGAGATGAATGTATATGTACTCATACAGATGATCAGGGTTTCATATTTAGACAGGTTATTGAAAGTAAGTGGGAATTAAAACAAACAGTAGTTATTGTTGATGAAAGATAGGATAACAGTAAACTTCCTTATTATTATTATTATTATTATCATCATTATTATTATTATTATTATATGGGCCACGATAATCCAATTGTACACTTCTCAAAAAAATGTAAGACTCGGTCACAGTATATGAACTTCAAAGTCAAACTTCACAGATATCTATCTGTCACTTCCATTTTCATCAAAGCAGGCGAGAGTGAATAACAGCAGCTTATGCTTTGTAACTGGACTGATTCAGCTGATATCAGTTTAAATGACCCTGTTATATTGAGACGGTCGAGTTTTCCCTCAATTCTTTCAGCAGTATACTAAAAAAAAAAGCTGCTGCCTCACTGCAGCACTACAGTATACATTTTGTATGCTAATTTTAAATAATGGCTGCTACCAAACGGCTCTTTCATACAGTGAAAATTAGATCCGTGTCTCTATCAGGCTTCACAAGTACTTTATTTTTGGTTTAGCACAGCATGCATGTCCTGAGCACTTTAACTGATTTGCTTATCTGTTGCATTCACACTTCTACTGCTGTCGAGTATGTGGAAAGAATGTCAGCAAAGGAGTTCTAAGGAATTTGTTGCAACATGAGGAACATAATACACATTGTGAAACTTCACACTCAGTTGACCAATCCGGTTTGTGAGCACTGTTATAGGGTAAATGTGTTTTGTAATTAGTTTTTAATCTGTTTAATCTGAGATATTTTAGTGCACTTTAACTACAGCTAGTTTCAACCATGAGTTTGTCCATTTCAGTTTAGTTTTCATTAGTTTCAGTGTCAGTTACAATCTTTTTAATTGTTATTATATGTGGGTTATTTACCAGGGTCAAGATTTATGAAGCAAAGAGTGCATTACAGAACAATCACAACACTGTATTTAGGCGGCGTACTCACAGTCATGTAGACAACTCACCAAGCAGGCTGTGTTCACAAATGTAACCAAACTGACAAAGACTAAAATTATAGACTTTTATTTTTTTGCATTTTTGTTTCCAGTTTTTCTTTACTTAACTTTAGCAACTTTACTCTGGAGTTGATCAACAAATAGTTTAAAGTGATGTAATACTTTACTAATGACCACATCAGACAGGTGTCCCCCTGCCCCAAGCCATAAAATTGTCGTAGCTCAATCCACCATTTGTGAAATGACAATAAATTATGTTACATTCAAATCCTTTTCAGAATGAATGAATTAGCTAATGTACGCACATAAAGCTAAAGTAAGACGGAAAACAAAACAAAAACCATCACAGAGTATCTGCTAAACCAGGGGTGGGCAACTCCAGGCCTCGAGGTCCGGTGTCCTGCAGGTTTTAGATGTCACCCTGGGTCAACACGCCTGAATCAAATGACTAGTTCATTACCAGACCTCTGGAGAACTACAAGACATGTTGAGGAGGTAATTTAGCAATTTGAATCAGCTTTGTTGGATCAAGGACACATCTAAAACCCGCAGGACACTGGCCCTCGAGGCCTGGAGTTGCCATGAGCCAAACACTGGTCTGTTTGTGTGCACATTAGCAGGATTTATTTAACATCAACTTTCAAGCATGACTGTGATTGGGTAATCAGACAGAGCCAGCTGCTGAAGTGTCCAATCTTTATGGCTGTGAAAGGGGCAAGATTTCTTCTGTTTTCATTATATTTTCCTGTAAGAAGTATTGTGTTCCAAGTTGTTAAGAATGAACCACATTATTTATTTATTTATTTAGGACAGTGCATGTTAATGAACATAAATGTAAAAATAAATTACATGAATGTAAACATACCAGATTATAGCCAAGGGCTAATTTCACTCCATTATGAGAGTGATCTACCAAACTCTGCAGTTTATTTTAGCCACCGATCTTGGTCTTTACCAGTTTTGCTTCCTTCTTGCAAACAGAGACATTAGCAATAGCCTCACACACCAATGTGAAATGCTTAAGTTACTTTGTGCAACTGGAAAAGCAAATAAAGATTTATGAATAATTTGAAATACTTTTGAAAACCTCAAGGTCAGATGTCATGTTTTCTGGAAATCTTGTGAATGTGATAACTCAAGAAGGAAGTCATTGAGGATTTTCAAATTACTAGGAGGCTGAGGGATTGCAGTGGCGGTCACCAGTGTTTTTTTGTTTTTGTGTTCACATGCAGACTACGTAAGGGTTAAACCACTCACCAGAGACAGACTTTTTTCTTATCAGACAAGCAAGTGTGTTATATTCTTTCCTAAATGGTTATCTATTGGGTGTGTGTTGTGACCTTCACTTGAGCTTGCCAGTAGAACTGAGTCATGATCTTGTCCTTTGTGTCAGAGTCTAATTATTGCTTCATAGCCTTTTTTTATTTTAAATTCATTATATATAAAACTAAACATGCTAAGGCTCTTTTTGAAATTATTATTTTGATGGTTATGGTGTATAACTGATGAAAGCTAGAAATCCAGTTTTTCAGAGTATATCTTTAAATCAATCAAAAAAAGGTTTACTATATAGAAATAATTATGAAGGTGTGGTCAGTTATACTCTCAGTGATTGTGTGGTTGTCACAATTTACTGCATCAGTAGAAAGTAGCATGGATGTGATCAGCTTGTGGCACTGCTGAAATGTTACCAAAGCCTTGGTTGCTTTTATAGCAGCCTTGAATTTACCTGTATTGTTGGGTCGGATGTTTCTCCTCTTCCTCTTGACAGCAGCTCAAAGATTTCCTGTGGGGCTCAGCCAAGGACTGGTTGGTTGGTCAATCAAGCTCATAAACATCATAGACAACAAACTATTTGGTATTAATGTCGGTGTGTTGGGCTAGTTCTAATTCCTGCTGGGAAAGGGAATTGCCACCCCAATAAGTTTTATTATATCCTGACAGGCAAGTGTCTTCTTAAATGGTAATAGCAATTTATTACCAATTAATTACCAAAGTAATAGCCAAGCAATCATCTTGTATCAACAGTGGTTATTATAATATATATTATTATTGTCAACAAAGTGTTTTGTTTAAGCAAATTGTCAGAGACTCATAGTGAAGATCATTTTTAGCATGTTGACTCTTTCTGTTTGTGGTTGCAAATGCAAGTGCACTATTTGGCCCTAATACCAGCACTGTCACCTTGCTGTTTTGTTTTCAATACCACTATCTTAATATTTGGGGCCTGCTACATTTCATTTTATGTGGAATGCTGAAGCTACAAATAGATTAATGAAAAGAAAAACAAACACATTTTCAGGAAACAAGTTTTGCTTCAGCCAAGTCACAGATGAACTTGATGAGTGTATTTGATGGAAACATAGCTGTTGTCCTGTTGACTTGCTAGTATTTTTAACTTGCCCAAGGCCATTTGGCCAGAGGTTATGATAAACCCTGCAAAAGTTGTCTAATGTGCATCTAATGAGTTTTGCTGATAATAATTATAATTAGAATTATTTATAATAAATATGAATAAATTTCTTTAACCATAGAGAATGACTAAATCCTTCAGGACAATGTCACATCAATGCACTGAACTCACTATGTTATCCCTCTTACAGAGCCTCCACATGTTCTCACTGTAATTTCCCCCTCATGAATGAATTTATGCTGCACTAATTTGAATGTTCGGAGGGAAATCAAACGCATTTTACTCGCAGTACTTGAGCTGACTTACCTTTGTTTGA